CTGTGTATACAGATCACACCACGATGTGTAAACAGTGGACCCACACACGAAAATACACAGCTGAAAGCACCAGTTGTGTACACAAATCACACCTGAATCTCTGTAGTTCGAACACGTATACGCTTGCCACATCGAAGGAGCCCGACTCTGTCAACCCAGAACCGAGGTCCACGTGCCCAGCCAGGGAGGGGGCAAATACACACCTCCCCAGCCCAGGGCGGCCCCGAGGGAGCTGCACATACCCGCCTCCGTTGCCCGAGTGGCCACGGCAGAATGCGGCCCCCGACGGCCCCAGGGCGTCCCAGAAGGGCCCTGAAGGACCCCGACGAAGGCCGCGCAGCGGTCCGAGAACACGAGAGGTGTCACGTGTTGCGGACCTTTTGGCAGCCAAGGCTTCGCGCGTCGCCATAGACCGCTGCGCTGGGAAGGGGGCGGACCTTGCCGCAAGCACCTGTATATTCTACATGTTGGCGATGCGACCGCGTTCGGCGGCCGCGCCGCCCGCGTGTGGTGCGCGCGCCCCGAACGCTTGCATTGGTAATCCTCTGTGTGTGGTTGCGCCGCTGTGCTCGGATACCGAACGGGCGGTCTACCGCTGATGCGGGCATGCGGCGCCAGAGACTCTGCTTCCCTTCTTCGAACGAGGAGGGAAAACGAGGTAGGACGACGGACGGTGGAGCAGGCAGGCAAAGAGGAATGAAGACGAATGGGGAATGTGGAAAGGGGCGCTCACCCGCCCGAGCTGCGGACGCCTTTCCCTGGAGGTGTCACTGGGTGGGAATCCCCGCGGATCTCCCAGCTGGTCCAGCCAGGGCCGTGGCCTGGGAGGGTAAAGGCACGGAGGGGTGGAAATGCTGGGCTGTGGGGGGTGAGGGGGTCGAGAGGAGGAGTGGCGCAGGGGCCGGGGATGAAAAAGACAGGACGAGAGGGGAAGACATGGGCCCAGGAGGAGCTGCATCATCGGTGTCAACATGACGAGGGCGAGGGAGGTGGGGGGGGGGCAGAAGGAGGGGGGCTGATCTGCACTAGGGCACACAAAATGGGGGGAGAGCTAGCATGTGGATGATGGGGGAACTCTTCCGGCAGAGGAGGACGACGAGGAACGGCATGACTTGGTATATGGGGAGGTTCGACAATGGGGATGAGGGGCATCATGAGGACTGGGTGGGGTCGGAGGGGCATGAAGAAGGTGGGGCGAAAACGAGGGGATATTGGGAGGAGGCGGGGGGTGGGGCATGAGGATGCGGAGGGCGCCAGCTAACGCTCAGCTGATCAGTGTTCTGCGTGTCCGTGTACCCCCCCAGAGCACAGTGATCGGTTGCAGAACGTCATGATTTGGGACTTGTGCGCGGCGTGCTTCGAGGCCGAAGGCTCGAGTCCACGACGCTCCTTGGCGTCGCGTTGATGCCGCCCCGCCTTGCCAGGCCGCATATTCACGGATAGACATGATCTGTGTTTCAACGTTTGTTTGATCACGTTCTCTATAGTAGCATACCCACGTCTGAATCCAAGTGGGCTGTCTTTTTTTTTTCGGTTATCGAGTGGGTGTCGCGGCTGTCCCTTTCCAGGTTTGCGCCCGCCAGGGGTGGGCCCGAGGTCGTTTCCACGAAACCACGTTTTCCTAGCAGGGTGTTTTTTTTCATCTCCCGCGTTGGAGCATATTCGCTACCAGTGGCGGCTGGTTTCTCAATCCCAAGGCTGTTTGAGGGTCGGGGGCGACGTCGGGGTGGTGTGGTGTGTTTATTTGTTCCGTTCTCCCAGGGGAGCATCGAAACATGTATACACCAGGACCCCGTATACACAAGGCTCCGCTGTCCTGTGTTGACTTCAGTGCGGGACTGAGAAAAGGCGTCGATGTATAGAGTGCGGCTCTTTGTCTGGCAGCGTCCGACGTCGCCTTCTTGACCGTCCAGTGCCCAGCAAGGGGGGGCGTCGCGCCGGCGCCCCCCGCGGCAGCAACCGAGGTCCCGAACACCAGGCGGAGGCGCGGGAACGCCGCACCGCAGCGCCGCGTCGCAGCCCCGCGCCACGTTCCTCGGGGATGATTCGCTGGCGATGCGTATGGTTAAGTCGGGCTGTCCTTCCCCACGAGGAATATTCAAACATAGTAAGCTCGGGGGACGGCTTTCTAGCAATTGTTTGATTTTGTTTTTTCTCATGTTTCCTGGAACGTCCGCCTGTGGGAAGACAGGCCCGACTTAAGCGTAGGGCAGAATGGGGAGCCCTGAACTCGTTTTTGACTCTGGCGTTCCAGCCCCTCGGGTCATGAACGAATCATGACGCGCAGCTTTTCACTGTTTTCGGCCCCTGGGGGGCTTTACTTCAGCGGGCGAAAAACGGTATATACGTAACTTGTTCGTCGTCTCGGGCGCCTGTCCCAGGATGGGTGGGCAATTTGTATCTTGACGTGCCACCGTAGGGGTATAAACTTTCCAGCCGCCTTGGGACAGGCTTCCCCGATGGCGAACAGGTTTAGTTTACCATTCTTCGCCCGTTAATTACTGGCCCTTGGGACCGTGAAGGACGACTCGGGGCGAAAAGCCGGTCCCGGTGAATGGGGCCGAGGCGTCTGGGGATCGATGCGTCGTGAGAAGTTCATGGCGTCGGGGGTCTGGGATCCTGGCGTCGCAGTGCTGCCCCCCTCGGTGCTTTTTGCTGGGCCCGGGGCCGACCTGGCTCTGGAAGTGCCGCAGAGAGGGAGAGAGAGAGAGAGAGAGAAAAAGAGAGATGGATTTTTTTTTGACTGCGATTGTGTGTCTTTTTCGTGACGTCGCTTGTCATCAGTATCGTTTAACCGATCCCGATCCCCATTTCAATTTCCATCCCGATCCCCACCATCCCACCACCCCAGTTGGGGATGTGCCCCTCGAAACCCGAAGAGAGCAGCCTAAATCCCCATCCAGGGGGTTAAATCAGCCAGTGGGGCCCAGCCCACGCTGTTGGGGATGAGGATCGGTTAAGCGATGCTCACCTCAGGGAGGGGGTATGAGGGCGGAGTGGGGTGGATGGAAGAGGAGGAGCTGGGCCAGGCGGCGGTGAATGGAGAGGGAGGCGGAGGGTGGGGAGGAGGAGTGGATGGAGGAGGAGGAGGAGGAGGAGGAGGAGGAGGAGGAGGACCAGAGTAAATCCAGGAGCATCAAAGACGCTACAGCACACGCCCACGTCCCAAGTCCCCTCTTCACATGTCACTGCCAGCCCCTATCTTTACTGCAGCCCTATGGGCCTGCCGTTCCGGCGAGCATGTACAGTGAGCGGCTTGCATAAGGAACACTTACTTTTCAAAAGGGGCTCGGTCGTTCCTTAGGCTTGCATGCGTTATTTACTGTTCCTTATGCGTTATTTGTTTGTTTTATCGTTCCTTATGCGTTATTCCTTGGGATAAAAAGGGGGCTTCGTTCCTTATTTCTCGTTCCTTAGGTCAGGCCGATGACTGTACCCGGGCCCTGGCGAGCACCTACCCTTCGTGTCTTCAGATGGAATGCGACAACGTCGGATCAGACAGTTCGGCGAGGTGCCCACTGTCAGTGAGCTTAATCGTGCGACATCTCTCAGCAGCCGCTCCCCTCTCATACACCTGTTCTATATTCTGTCTGCTGGGATCGAGGAAGTCTCGAGCGAATCACAAGTTCGAGAGCGTACCGCCCTCCATCGTTGCAGCAGTTGTTCAAGCATCGCAGATCGGATGTGCGCGGCGATAAGGCGCCTGCCCCACTTTGACAACCACACGCCCTCCATCCTTGGAGCTCTCCTTTAAAGAGTGTAAGTACGTGTGTGGCGCGAGGGCGACAGCCCCACTTTACTGCTCTCCATCCTTGAAGCCCGTCAAACCTTGCAGGACAGGTGTGCGCGGCGCTCCCGCGAGAGCACCACTCTGAAAGGGACCTGCCCTCCGCTCTTTGGATTTTTTTGTTGGGGGAAGTTCCAGACCCTCGGGAGCCCGAGTGGTGAGGGTGTCTCGGGCGAGACGCCCAGGCTGCCTTACCAGCAACTACGCGTGGGGGGCCGAAGGGGAGGAGTTCCCGAGGAGGACGTGGGATGGATCGGGAGGAGGAGGAGGAAGAGGAGGAGGAGGAGAAGTTGGAGGAGGAGGAAGAGGAGGAGGAGGAGGAGGAGGGGGAGGCGCAGACGGAGGGGCAATTAGGAGGATGAGGAGGGGTGAGGAGGCGGCTTTCTCTGGAGGGAGACGGGGTTGAGGATCAGTGGAGGAGGGAACGGGGGGACGGACTTGCGCCCCCGCATCATTCCGGCTCCTCCCCTCCCCCCTCTTCCTCCCCCCCCCTCGCGTCCCTCCCCTCCCTCCCCCTCTGCCTTTCCCTCCCCCTCTCCCTCCCCCAATCCTACCCGCCTTCCTGCTTCGTGCCCTCCTCGTCTTCCTGTCCCCCTTTGCGCCCTCCTAATTTCTCGTCCTGCCTTCCCTCCCTCGTGCCCCACACCCCCGTCGCCGTTGGCCCATCGATCAGCGGCGGCTCGAGATTGCAGTAGAGGAGGCAGGACTCAGTATCGTTTTATCGATCCCAATCCCCATCCCCATCCTCGTCCCGATCACCACCATCCCCCCTCTCCAGATGGGAATATGCCTCTGCGAAACCCGAAGGGAACAGTCGGCCAGTGGGGCCCATGCCACGCCAGTGGGGATAGGGATCGGTTTGACGATGCGGGCAGCATGGATATTGTGATGCGGCTGATGCTGTCGCTGACGATCAAACAATAATGAGGAGAAACATCATGATGATGGTGGTGTTTATGAAGCTAACGAGGTGGTGGACGATATTCACGATGACGTTGACGATGACGTTGACGATGCTGCACATGGTGATGATGAGGATGATGATGCTTATATATGTTCTGGAACGGTTTGAGCTTGGGCTTTTTGAATTCGGTGATGTCAATACCTGCTAAACGATCCATGGAAGTTTACACATCGGAGTGCCCTCTCTCACCTGTCCCCGCTCTCTCCCCTCCATAGCCTGTCTTCGGCTTAAGGACGGGCGGCACGCCGCATGCCCGCCTCCGGCGGGCCCGCTGCGCTGCCGGCCTTGTGTGTGGCGCTGATAGCTGGTCTGGACTGGCGAGCGGGCCCCCTCCAGCCTGGACCCGTGCCACGGAGTGAGGCTCTGGTGTGGCTCGACGGGGACGCCGACGCCGGCGTCGAGGCCTGGTTGACGGCTCCGACTCCCACGGGGGAAGAGTGGTGCGCTGATCTCCCTCGCGGTGCTCTCGCCCGGGTGAGCTACGACGACGACGTCAGGGACCTCGAGCGTGTCGTGGTTTGGCCCTCGCGGCGAGGGGAGGCCGTCGAGCGGGTGGGTTTGCACTTCTACTGGGTCCTCTCGCCCGACGGCAACTGGTGGAGGGAGCTGCTCTCAGGGGCCTCACCTACCGACGGCCCTTCGGACGACGAGCGCATCGCCGACGGGGGTGTCCCGCCTGCTGATGGCCGGAAGCTGTGCAGCTTCCGCGAGCGGCCGACCCCTACTCGGCTCGTGGAGCCGGCCGACGGGTGCCGATTGGCGATGGAGGCTCGCGGGCAGGCGGCTGCCGGGGGGCCCGCCCACGTGGAGCTCGCCTCTGGCATGCTGCTGGAAGGCGGGGAGGTGTCCCCGTGGGCCGCGCCGCCGTGGCCGTCGCACCGACTCCACGGGAGGCAGGGTCACGTCTGGGTGCTGACCGAGCCAGTGTTCGACCTGGACATCGGCACGCTCGCGGACCCGTCGAACGAGACGCTCATTGGCGCTGGATTGGGTGCCCCAAGGCTTCGTCGCGGACGGGCGTTTCGTCGGGAGCTGGTGCCGCGGGACGGCGGGGCAGGCCGGGCGTCACGCCGTGTGGCCGAGCTGGGCCGTCTCCTGGAGGTGGCAGTTCCCGTGGCGACGCTCGGCTCCTCTCCCCCGGGCGGTGTCCTGGATGGCGCCGCTGCCAGCGGCGCGGAGGGCGCTCCCGCCCGGGATGGCGCTCCGTCGGCCGATGCTTTGGCTGACGCCGCTCGAGATGGCACTCGCACGTTCTGGATCGAGTGGGACGGCCAAGGGGAGCGGTACAAGGGGTTCAGAGAGGCCGCGGACGAGTCGGCGGATTGTGTCGAGGGCCACCAGCGTCAGGAGGACGGCCTGACTCGCCTGCACACCTGCAAGATGATGTACCACACGATGGGCACCCCTCGGAGTTGGCTCGGGAAGTTCTTGAATGACAAGTACGTCGTGCACGCCGACCGGGTCGCCCCTGGGCCCTGGCCGCCGATGGAGGTGCTCGAGGAGGCCGTGTCCTTCGACCAGGCCAACCTGGGGGGGCTCGCTCTCCTTGTGGTGGCCGAGCGCCGGCTCAACGTGACCGTGGACGCCTACAAGTGCGCTGGCACCCCCTCGTTCGCCTCCGCCAAGTACTTGTCTCCGCTGGGCGAGTCAGACGAGTCGACGGCGCCGCCGCCGAGGAGCCACGTGGCCTACCGCATGAAGGAGGCCTGTGGGGTCGAGCAGTCCGTGATGAAGGCCGAGGCTGCGGACGCTCGTGTGACGTCGGGATCTGCTGCGATCCAGCCGGGCGCTGAGGGTGCCACCACAAGGATCGGCGGTGGGGACAGGGGGGGAGGTCGCTGCGGTCGTGTCCGCGGAGGCCGCACCCCGGGGCTCCCCCCGCCGGTCCTGTCATGACCGAGAAGGCACAGCCGGGGGAGTGGGCCCCCCCCGGCTGGTACCACAATCTGGCCCGCGCCTCACCGCTGCCGCCGTCCGATTTTGAGAGAGACTTGTTCCCCGTGCCGATGATGGCTGCGCCGGGCGGCTCCGCCCGTGGGCGCAGGTCTCAGCATAGGACTCGCGCTCGGCAGCGCGAGGTGGAATTGGTGAATCGCGCCCTCCGCAGCTTGAACTGGTTGGCCGGCTTCAAGGGCGCGGCTGCTTCACCGAGTCCGGGCGCAACGACCCTGGACAAGCATGCAGCCCTTCAGCAGCACTTGCTTCGTGAAGCTCATCGGCGACAGGCCGCAGCTCCGCAGGTGACGCCGAGGGCGGAGGCAGCCCTGAGGGAGCTGCTCCGGGGGCAGTCCGTGTACGAGACGGACTTGGCCCCAAGGAACCTCGTCTCCTACCTGCCCGGCAAGGTCTCACTCCCCGACAGCGTGCTGGACTGCCGCTTCATCGAGGATATTGTGAGCCCTGGGTGCCGCTCGTTCTTGGAGGAGAACCACAAGCGTATGAGGTTGGAGCCAGAGTCAGTCAACTTCGACAGCATGCCGCGGCTATACATGGACCCGGTGCTGAAGAGGAACCCCAAATCCTACCGTACCTTTTCTGCGAGATCTTGCTGGACGCGGACTTCTGGGCGTAACGGCTAGGCCCGCCGAGTCGGTGGGCCTGTTTTTCGCAGCTAAAACGAACGGGGCACAGCGTATGATAATTGATGCGAGGCGGAGCAGCGGCCACTTCAGAGCTCCGCCAGGCGCGCAGCTTCTCAGCAGTGAGGGTTTCGGCCGGATCGAGATCGAGTTGCCGCCTGGTGTTCTGCCCTCGTCGGCTGAGGGGCAGCGGCTCCTGGATGCCTTCGCCGTCTACGTGGCCACCACCGACGTGAAGGACTGCTTCTACCGGATGCGCGTACGCGAGGACCTTGGCCGCTACTTCTGCCTGCCCGCCGTCCCCAAGTACGTGTTCGACGGCCTGCAGGTGGCCGGCGTCCCGGCGGAGACCCCGCCAGACGCTCCCGTGCGGCCCTACTTGGCCGTGCTGCCCACGGGGTTCACGTGGTCGTTGTACCTGGCCCAGGCGGCGAATGAGGACAGGGTGTGCCGAAGCCCCAGCCTGTGCAAGGCGATGCCGGCTGGCAGGCAGCAGCCCTTGATTCAGGACCAGGCCGAGGCCTTCGTGCTTCGCGCCGCCTCGCGCGGGGTCGGGGGCGCCTACGTGCACGTGGACAACCTAGGCGCCGTGTCGGACGACGCCGATCTCAGCGAGAGGATGGTGTCAGAGTAGAGAGCGATCTTTTCGAGCCGGTCGGGCTGGCGCTCCACAAGTCAGAGTCCCACGGGGGCGCTGGTGAGGCTCTCGGCACCGAGCTTGACGGCGTCCGCCTTCGCTCGGGGATCACCTCGAGCCGGTTTTGGAAGCTCGAGCGAGGCTTAACTGGCCTTCTCGCTCGGGGGCGTTGCAGCGGCCAGGCGCTTGAAAAAGTAATCGGGCATTGCACGTTTTGCGGCCTGGCGGCTCGTGAGTCCCTGTCCATCTTCCACACTGTCTATAAGTTCATTTCGGTTCAGTATCTCGACGTGGGCCCGATGTGGCCCGAAGTGGTCGAGGAGCTCGTAGCTTTTAGAGGGGCCCTTTTGCTTCTGGGCCGCGACTGGTGGCTGCCATGGAACCCTTGCGTTTTAGAAACCGACGCCAGCCTAGCGGGCTGGGCGATGGCCCAAAGCTTCTGGGGCCCAGCTCAGGTCGCCGGCGTCGGTCGTGTCAGCGAGCGCACCCGTTTCAAGCGCGTCGGTGCTCACTCCGCTCGGGAATCCGCACTCACCTCCGCCCACCTCTTCCGTGACGAGTCAGGCGAGTGGAGAAGCCAGCTTCTAGGAGACGATCCTCTTTCAGACGACTGGGAGGTCGTTGCGGGTTTTCCCGAAGTCCCCTGGCAGCTCCTCCGGGGCCCGGCCTGGAAAACCGTCCGGAAGGGGGTTTGGGGCCTTAGCGAGGGTATTCTGGTGCTGGAGGCCCGGGTCTTGGTAAAGGCCATCCGCAGGCTCGCCAGGACCATGCACGGGTCTTGCTTCAGACAACTTTTCTTGTGCGACAATACGGCCGTGGTCCTAGCTTTCGCCCGCTCGAGGAGTCAGGACTTCAAGCTTCTGGTCCAGATTCGACGCTTCAACGCTTGCGCTCTTGCCCTTGGCATCGCCCCATATTTTAGATGGATCCCTTCGGAGTTTAACCAGAGCGATGCCGGGAGCCGCGATCACTCGGAAGTCTCGTCCAAATTGCTAACCGATGTCCTGGATCAGCAGGTTAGGATCTCGTCCCCTTCTTCTCTCTCTCCTCTCCGTAGCCGTATTGGCTCAAACTATGTTCAGGCCTCCCTCGCTTCCGTGCCTGAAGAGTCTGTCCCGACGGATGTGGGCTCGGACGCTGCGGCCGACGTGGGCCCCAGTGCGGCCGATCTCTCCAGGACCGCTTCGTGTTCGGCCGAGACCTGGCGTTCGCCCGCCGCCTTGCCCGAGTGCTCCGCTGGCGGGGAGGGCGAGGGCGAGTGCGCTGACGGGACCCCAGAGAGCGACGGAGGCACGTGGCCCCAGAGCCCGCCTCGACGTGCCGACGGGGGTCCACGGCGCCCGACCGGCCCGGACATGCTCGGAGCGCCGCCCTTGCCAGCCGCCGACGTCGCCTCCTGCGACGCTCGAGGACCTCGCTCCCGCGGCCTCCGCTGGCGACGACGAGGCGGGCGCCGAGGGAGAGGGCGAGTCGAACGGGCCCGACAACGTGGTGAACCATGCGACGGCGGCTTCGAGGAGATCTCGCCGCCTCCAGGACTCCCGACACCAACGCCAAGCGGCCCTCCACACGGACATGTTCATGCAGGCCGTTGTCGGGGGGCCCGCGTTGCTGCATGGAGCGTCTGGTGGTGACTCGCCGGGCGAGGGAACGCTACGCCAATTATCTCGATCGTTCTTACTCGCATGCCGACCCGACCAACGACAAGCTCATGAGGGGCACGAACGAGGCCGTGGATTGCTGGGCGTGCGACTACTTCAACGCGATGTACCTGTCCGAGGAGCAGAGCGGCCTGGAGGACCAGACTGGAACTGCCCTGGTGGACCGGCGCCCAGCTTCCGACCAGCGGGGCAGGGGGGCCCCGCCGCGGACGTGGCGAGCGCTGGAGGCGTGGAGACGACGGGCGCCTCCGCGGACCCGCCGAGCACTGCCGTTCGCCGTGCAGTCGCCGGGGGTGTGGCTGCTGGCGGACAAGGGCCTCCCGCTCATGGCTCTGTTCTTAGCGGTGGGCCTCTCCGCCTGTTCCAGGTCCTCTTCTCTGGTGGCAGCTCTAAGGTGCGCCCTGGTCCCGCCGCCGCGTGCAACAGTGGGCAGCTGGAACCTTCCGACTCACCCCGAGGAGGAGGGAAGACCGAGCAGGACAAATCGCTACAACGAGGAGCGCCTCCCGGACTCGAGTTACTTCCAGGGGGCAGGCCCTCTACTCCCCGAGCCCGAGGTGAGTGGAGACCGGCCAATGCTGTGGCCTTTCGCGTACCTAGAGCTTTCAGAGGCGGTGCAGCTGGCGGCGGCCGAGGACGGGGTCGACAGGCTGACCCTGTACCACCTCCGCCGCTCAGGCGCGAGCATCGACGCCAGCAGGCTCTCGCGTACCCTAGAGGAGATGCGGATGCGGACCTGGCAGTCGCTCGTGCCAAGCTGAGGCGGACCTCCCGCGGAGATAGCTAGGCTTCAGGGCGCGCAGTTGGGATGTAGCCCACGATCCAGTCTGGCAGAATCTTGCTGACCCAAAGGTCCTTCGGGCAATCCGACGCGACGCCCGTCGGGGCCTAATATTGGCAGCAACCTTGGCCCCTTCTTGTCAAACCTTTTCAATCGCGCGGGATCGGACAGCAAAGATCCGGTCCCCGGACATGCCCTGGGGACTGCCCAGACAGCTGCTCAGCGCCACAGACCGAGAGAAAGTCAGAGTAGGCAATCAGATTGCCCACGCCGCCATAGGGTTACTTGCTCTTTTCCATCAGCTCAAGATCCCTGCCGCTCTTGAGCACCCGCTCACCTCTCGTCTGTGGCACACCGCAGAGATCCAAGCTTTGGCCAAATTGCCGCATGTCAGTTTAGTTGAATTAGACCAGTGCCAATTCAGAGCCCTATGTAAGAAGCCAACCCGCCTGATGTTCTGTCACGTAGCAGTTGACGACCTTAAGAATCTGCGCAGAAAATGCTGTGGTCAGAAAGGACGGCGCTCGCGGACAGGCCTCCCTCACTTCCAGCTCGAAGGAAGCGCCCGCGCCCGTCCAGCGGCCGCCTACCCGCCTGAGCTCGCACACTGTATAGTTCGAGCGCTCACTGCCGCTTGCGTCGCCACGTTCGGATACAACTCAAGATCCCTCCCTTCCCAACCCTAGTGAACTCCCGTATTCGGGAAACTTGGGGAGGAGTGAGAGCGTGCAACGACTTTAACCTCTGGCCTGGACGTTTCGAGGCTTTCGTCAGATTCATGTCCCTGCAATGTGAAAAAAGAAGTGGCTCTATATGATCTTGAACGGTTTGAGCTTGGGCTTTTTGAATTCGGTGATGTCAATACCTGCTAAACGATCCATGGAAGTTTACACATCGGAGTGCCCTCTCTCACCTGTCCCCGCTCTCTCCCCTCCATAGCCTGTCTTCGGCTCCCACCCTCCCACCCTGGGAGGAGTGAGAGCGTGCAACGACTTTAACCTCTGGCCTGGACGTTTCGAGGCTTCCGTCAGATTCATGTCCTTGCAATGTGAAAAAAGAAGTGGCTCTGAATCTGCTGCTTCTGATAATGATGAGGTTGATGATGATGCTGACGATTATGCTGCTGCCGACCGTGCTGCTGGAAAACAGCGACCATGACAACGCCGACGAAGGTGATAACGATGAAGACGATTCTATTGATATTGTTGGCGCTGGTGGTGGTGATGATTCTGCTGATGGTGATGAAGATAATGCTGATGAGCATGCTGCTGCTGATGATAATTATGATACTGATGTTGCTGACAATGATTATGTCGTTGAATAAGATAATTCTGACGCTCTGACGGTGATGATGCTGCTGCTGATGATGATGCTGATGGTGATGATGATGATGCTGCTGGTGATTCTGTTTATATAATTTGCTACGACGATGTCGATGATGCTGTCGCTGATCATGATGATGATGATGATGGTGATGATGATGTTGATGGTGCTGGTAATGATGCTGACAATGATGATAGTGATCATGATGCTGATACGGAAGCCGAGGCTACTGATGATGCTGATGATGTTGATGCTTATGATGATGATGATGCTGATGATGATGATGACGGTGCTGATGATGATGTTGATGATGATGCTGATGATGTTGTTGATGATGATGATGATGATGAGACGCTGGCGAAGTCGCCGCCGATTGACGACATGGTGATTCGGATACTGCTGGTGCTAATGCTGATGCTGATCTGACGCTGACGCTGACGCCGACGATGATGATGATGCTGCAATTGATGTCGATGACGATGTTGGTGACGATGATGATGATGATGATGATGATGATGATGATACTGATGCTGATGGAAATGATGATGATGATGTGATGAGGATGAGGATGAGGATGATGAGGATGATGACGATGATGGTGATGATGATGATGATGACGACGATGACGAGGAGGAGGAGGAGGACGAGGATGAGGAGCAGGATGATGCTGATGCCGATGCTGATGATGATCACGATGGTAATGATGATGATGCTGATGATGATGAGACTGATGCTGATGATGATGGTGGTGGTGATGATGCTGCTGATGATGATCATGATGGTGATGATGATGATGACGACGATGATGATGCTGATTCTGATGATGATGCTGATGATGTTGTTGATGATGCTGATGCTGATGCTGATGCTGATGCTGATGATGATGATGATGATGATGACGATGATGATGATGATGATGATGATGATGATGATGATGCTGATGATGGTGATGCTGATTATTCCCTACTTGGGCTCTGCCTAGAAGGGTACTTACTCTATATGCTTAAAGGGCCGGGCAATGGAAATCGCCCCGGGCGGTTCCCCCGGCATCCTCCCCGCGGTTCCCCCAGTTACGTCTCCTTAGCTTAGCGTCGCTTATCTCATCTTAGCTTAGCCTAGCCTAGCTTAGCTTAGCTTAGCCTAGCCTAGCTTAGCTTAGCTTAGCTTAGCTTAGCCTAGCCTCGCTTAGCTTAGCTTAGCTTATCTTAGCTCAGCTTAGCTTAGCGCAGCGCAGCGCAGCGCAGCATTAGCATAGCATAGCATAGCACAGCATGTCATAGCATATCATAGCATAGCATAGCGCAGCATATCATAGCGCAGCATAGCATAGCATAGCATAGCGTAGCGTAGCATAGCATAGCGAGGCATATCATAGCATAGTTTAGCTTACCATAACACAACGCAGCATAGCATAGCATATAGCATAGCATAGCATAGCATAGCACAGCACAACGCAGCATAGCATAGCATAGCATAGCATAGCATAGCGCAGCATATCATAACACAGCATAGCGCAGCATAGCGCAGCATCGCATATCATAGCATAGCATGTCATAGCATAGCCTAGCATAGCATATCATAGCGCAGCATAGCATAGCATAGCATAGCCTAGCATAACACAGCGCAGCCCAGCGTACCCTAGCATAGCATAGCATAGCGCAGCAACACGCAGCATAGCGCAGCATATCACAGCATAGCAACAGCAACAGCAAAAGCAAAAGCAACAACAACAGCAAAATCAACAGCAAAAGCAAAGGCAAGGCAATGCAAAGCAAACACAACACCAATGCGAACTTGTAGATGTAGATGTAGATGTAGGTGTAGGTGTAGGTGTAGATGTGGATGTAGGTGTAGATGTAGATGTAGATGTAGATGTAGGTGTATATCTAGGTGTAGATGTAGATGTAGATGTGAGTTTCGCTGTCGATGTTGATGTAGATGTAGATGCAGGTGTAGATGTTAATGTAGCTGTCGGTGTAGATGTAGATGTTGCTTTCCTAGATGCTCCAACTCCTAGGTAGGGTCGCACTGGGATACTGATTCTGATTATGATGCTGAGGAGGAGGAGGAGGAGGAGGTTGGGGGAGGATGGGAGTAGGAGTTGGAGTAACCTGGGGAGGCGTGTTGAGGTGCGTTTGATGAGGTGCGCATGAGGCCGCATGAGGAGACGATGATGGGGGGGCAGCAGTGGGGGAGTCGAAGAGGAGGATCAGGAGGATCATCAGCTGCATATAGGCGGAGGATGTGTAGGAGCAGCAGCAGGATGTGGCGTCAGGGGGCAGACATTTATGGGGGCAGGGGGAGGAGGAGGAGGAGGAGGAGGAGGAGGAGGAGGAGGAGGTGGAAGAAGAGGAGGAAGAAGAGGACGAAGAGAACGAGGATGGTGGGAGTCACGTCGCCAGTGGCCCGGCAGGCCTCCGTGCTGGACTGGTTATCCCATGTCCTTGCGCTCTTCTGGAAGGCCGGCGGGCACCTCCGCTTGGATAGTTGGCGGCCTCCTTTGCTCCTCTCAGGAGGGGAAAAACACACAGACACAATTATTCGTCGATTCCCCAGAAAATATGCGAAAATATGGCAAGTGGGGGGGAAGACAGAAACCCAGAAAATATGGGAAAATATGGGGAATTGTTTTATTTGTGTATATTTATTTGTGTGTCCCAGTTCCCCTTCATCCTCCTTTCCCCGAGATCTCCAGGCGTTGCCACGAGAAGGCGAACAGCGCGCCTCCTTGGTGCACTCGGCGTCGGGGGGGGCCGTGTCCGGGCCCGTGGTCTGCTCGGGCAGCTGCCCGCGGCAGAAAACGCCGGTACTCGGGACGGGGTGGAGGGCTCCGCGGCCTGCGTCGTGGTGAACAAGAATCAGGAGGGGAAAAAACACAGACACAATTCATCGTCGATTTCCCAGAAAATATAGGAAAATATGGGAAGTGGGGGGGAAGACAGAAACCCAGAAAATATGGGAAAATATGGGGAATCCTTGTATTTGTGTGTATTTATTTGTGTGTCCTGGGGCCCCTTCAAAGAAGCTCGATCTCGGAGGGCCGGGCCGCTTCTCCTCTTCGGTTTGGCCTCCCTTCCTTCCCCCGTTCCTCCTTCTTTTTTTTTTTTTTCTCTCTCTCTCTCTCTCTCTCTTTCTCTCCCTCTCCCTCCGTGTCTCCGAGAAGCAAGAGGTTGCGGTGATGATGCGTTGCAGGATTGCCGAGGTCGAGTCCAGGATTTCCCATGCTTCCCGGTGCTCCATGCGGGCCTGCAGAAGCGGGGGCCGCCAGATCCTCGGGAAACATCGTAGAACGTGTCCTGAGCCAATCTTGCCATGGCATTCTTCTCACCCTACAGTGGAGACCCATGCCAAGAAACACCCTGCCTCCCTCCAGGGTGCCCTGGGTTTCTTGGGTTTCGACGGTTTTGCTATGGAGAGCGGAACGTTCCCACACCAAACATCAATGGACGTCCTGGGGTCTCAGGGTTGGGTTTCTTGTGGAAGATTTCTTGTGGACTGGCCTCCACTGTAGTGTCCTCACCCTGTTTTCTCGATTGCGCTCCCCTTGCCCGTGGATCGGCTGCCGTCGCCCATCCTGTGGGGGAGTGTATCCGGCATCCGTTCTAGTCTGGCCAGAGGTGATTCGACGTGCCAGTGCCCAAGGCGCGCACATTTGTG